GTTTCACTTATCTTATATAATAAAAAGAAGTTAGATTTTTTTAACAGCAATTAGGACGTAAGAGTCTTGTAAGCTGTGGGCTAATTTGGCCTAATACTGTAATACTACGTCGATTTTACAGCCAGTAAAATGGCAATTCAAACAGTTGTCTCATCTCTGTGTGATAATTTTTTTATTCCAATTTCTGTAATAGGACGAATATTTATTGATTGCAATGCCGCATAAGGGCTATTTTCATTCGGGAACATATTGCTATTTAATATATAGTAGAAACCGATGTCACTCTTGCTTGACATCAGGCTCCTTGAAGATGAACCCGGGACCTCTGATTCAAGTCCAATCTTATAGCCTTACTCACGAGCGATGGGACCTGAATCAGAGGTCCCGGGTTCGATATCCACTTCGAGCAGCCTGTTGTCAGGCAGCAGTGACAACGATTTTCACTTGGAAATATAGATAGTAATATGTTTCCAAGTGAAAATAGTCCTCACTCGGCATTGCTGCGTCAATGAAAATACTCGCCCTATTACAGAAATTGTAATAATGAGATATGATATAGAGATGTGACAACTGATTGGGTTGCATTTGTCAAACAGACTAGTATTAAGTCAAATCAGCACAACAGCTTATAGGACTCTTGGGTTCTGATTGCTGTTCAAATATAATTTAAAAAAAAAAATTATGATATTAAACATCAAAATTTCAAATCGCGTAAAATTGTAAAAATTAAAACAGAATACATGTATTTTTTAATACATCCGATTTAAAAGTTAAAGAAAAATTAGCCTAGATTAAAAATAAAATATTCCAATATACTATGTTGTTATGCATATAAGTTCATATTTACTACTCTTATTCATATTCTAATAAGTTGAGAGCAAAGACAGTAGCAAAACGTTGCACTCTTGCAAGTATCCTCATGCAAAAACTCGTGAAATGAGTTCACGTACAATCAGTATAACCAAATATCTGCCCAAACCCAAACTAATAATTTTAAGAATGAAGATGAATAAAAATAACTATTATACGCTAAAGAATGCAATGAAATTCTTCTACAATTTGACTGTAGTTGTATATTTGTAACTATAAACACATTTGAAACGTCGATGATACACCGCCGAGCCGGCGCGGCGAGTCGAGAAGTGCGGTCATCCTCATCTGACCATCGCATCGCAGAGAACGGAGGGTTCAACGTTCTTGCTTATAACAGCTCCACTACCTGTGCACGGCAGCGAATGTTGTTTTATATGATCGACGTTAAGAACGCCAAAAGAATCCGTTTTAGTTTTCTTCATATTAGGAATCTGAAGTTTTTGTGACCCCTCATACATAA